TAGCACCAATTATATAAATTTCAATGTTCTTTAAACTCCAAGGCAATCTTTCATGTCAAATAAATGATTTGGTCCCGACATATACAGTTTATATAAGGAAACTGAAACATGTTAACAATTAAAAGAATTACAACTTGCATGCTCACCAATTCAAACATATCATCAAATATTAAAAGAAGGGGAGACAAGACCAATATAGAGCATATTGTCACAACCCCATGTAAATTGCAATTGACTAGTTCCAAATGGTCAGTTGTACCATGAATACTGAACCAAAACACTATGAAACTAACCCGGGCCCACATTAAAAACCAAAAAGAGACTAGACGTGCATGTCCCACATAATTTCCATCTTTAAACACACCTCAACTACAAATCCCCACAAATGGTAGAAAACTAAAACTAGAGGAAAAAGGAGTATATAGCCAATCAATAAACACTTGAATATGAATAAACAGCTCATCTTGCAACAGTCATTTAGTAAGACTGATACAAATCACAAACTGTCCAAGTAAGAAAGGAAATCATATAAGTTAAGCTTTAAATGCCAATGCATATAAGCTTTTTGATGATTGTTTCATTAAGCATCAAAACTACAATCTCTAATAGTTTTATGCACAACTCGACATCTCTTTAATCCTAGTCCCCAATATCCACCTCTGTTACATTAAATTTGTATGAAATCAAGGAATAAAAGGACATGTAGCTCGGATTTGAACAGCTTAGCAGGAAGTCTCTTGTCATTGGTCACTGCAATAGAGGACCGGATTCTAATCCCACTTCCACAAGGAGAGGGACATTGAACACTAAAAGGTGTAGGAACAAAACCCACTCGCATCCATACATAAAACACCATTATAAAAAAGTGATACTCTTGAACCCAAACTGAACATAAATAATATTGAAAATCCTAATTGGTACATATAAAAATCCAGACAACAATAGAGAGTTTGGAGTGTAATGTAATAAGACATGGCCGGCCCTTTCATACATACTAAATAAGCATCGTTAATGCATGCACTTGAAGAACAGACAGGAAATACATTTCTGCCAATGTAATGCAAAAAATAAAAAAAAAATTCAAATGCAAAGTGTGATCAAACAATTCAACAATAGTCTAGTCTACTTATATAACTATTCAAAAAAGTGTTCACCTACACAAAACAAAACAGGCCAAGAATGAATAATAAAATTATATATATATTAAAAGCACATAAATAAATAAAAATTAAAAAAAAATTTAGGAAATAAAAGAAACAAGTAAAGAAAAGAGTGGGCTTACCGCGGTCTACACTGCTGAAAGGCACGAGAGTCGGGTCGTAGCCAGTCGACATCAGACCGTGAAAATAGATGGTCGGGTTTATTGGTCGGGTCAATCGGAGAGTAAGTTGTTGAAGCTGCACCGGTTTAGCAGCCATTCTCTATTTCTTCTGCTTCTCAAGCAGTTCCAACATTCACGACTTGCACAGACGCAGATCCAATCCAAAGCTAACCCACTAATCATCACCAACCATCATCAGATCCAAAGCCAAATACCACAAATATGACTCAAAATTCCATCGACTTTGAGAGATAGAAGAAAAGAGAAGAGGAGAGAAAAGAAAAGCAAAGAGGGAGAAGGAAAGAGATGGAAGAGCGAAGGAGAAGTAAGAAGAAAGGTGAAGAAGAAGGAAAAAGGAGGAGAAGAAAGACGAAGGAGAAAAGGAGAAAAAAGATGAAGAAAGTGTGGCGCTGGAGAAAGAAGATAGGGTGTGGCGCTGGAGAAGAAGATGGGGCTTAGTAGGAAGTCGGATAATTTATATTGGTAGAGTAAATCACATGTAACCCCCTGATACTTAAAAAAATAGCACTTATACCCTTTCGAGCCATTCAGGAGCCTATCGAGCTGAGTAGTGGGTGGTTCGTAACTCGGCTAGAGAGGGTACTCGAGCCGCTCGAGCTCAAGCTTCGGCTCGACAAAAGTCGAGCCAAACCTGGTTCGTTCGATCCGAGCAGCTCGAGAATACATCCCTAATTGAAGGCAGTAATTTATATTGAAAAAAAAATATTCCAATTAAGTAATATTATTTGCACAAATTATTTCATTATACAAAGTTATAGAATAAGGATTTATAATTTTGAGAGTTAAAGAATAGTAGTACAATATCGGAATTCTAAAATTACAATACTTTGTGTAATGGTAAAATGTCACTTCCAGGAATTTGAGGTGGCGCAAGAAAATGCCTGTTATGTTGGGGAATTTACGGAATTTCAGAATCAGTTTGATTTTAGAACTAGGTTTTCCATAATAAATTTGAATTTAATGTTACTGTTATGGAATAAAGAGTCAATTTTATATGGAGATTTCACAAGCTTTGGAAGTTTACAGACCGAGTCGACTCGTTAAGCGTTTCTTTCATTCTCTCCTTAAAAATGATAGAAGGATGAAAAAACTAATAAATAATTCTGTAAAATAGATCGATTGAAACTCATAGTTCTGAAGAGGGTCCGGGAGAAAACCCTGAAACTAGGCGGGTTAAGACCCGGATGATCCTAAAAAATTCCATGACTGTCAGATTGATATAGGTTCCGCAGAAGAACCTGACTTCTCCGATAACACATCCATGGGAACGAGCGAAGTCTCAGAATTTGGATCAATCGACATAGCCTTAGATGAACTACTTGAGCTAGTCCGGTTCCTTCGCGAACGAAGTTCAGAATCAACAAGGGAGTTTTTTGTTCGTAACGAGGGAGAGATAGAATGGAGTTCTTCACGAAGTTCGAGACAAAAAAAAGTTTCTCTATGGCCTCCTCGTTTTGAGACATTATGGCTTTTGGTGGTTTGAATAAAATTGCATCACACCATTCAACAAGNTTTTAAGGGTTTTTTTGCCATTTTAAAGTGTCTGAATGTGTGCCTAAGTTGTCTACTATGCAGTCTCCTAAATTGTGATGCTACAAATTCTCTGTCCTCAGCTATAAGAATAATGCCTCTACTTTGGTAATGACTTTGACAGTGCGTGTAGACGATGGAAGTATGATACTGTGACGCGGGTCCAAGGCCCATGTCAGCAACTCCTCGCTGCAAAAACATCCAGGGCCAATCCAGTATGAGTCGAAGAATCCTGTACGGCCACCATTTTTAGTGTAGGAATCAAGATGACCACGAATAATGAAGAGCATTTGATTGACAGGATCGCCTTCACGCACAAGGAACATGCCTTTGGTTCCCAGTACAGGCTTTAGCCTCTCACATATGCAATCTAGCATTGTTTTATTCATTTTTATCAAACAATGGAACCTGTTCAACAAACTCAAGTTTGTTATTGGATGAATGGATTCTTAACTTGTAGTACAAGATATATCAAATAACTTACACGTTTGACTAGATTGAGACAAAGGTGGCGCTTGATTTCTCTGCGCAAATCCGTTGGAAGGCCTTGGAGAATGGCAGCTTCATCAAATCCTCTAGTGGGCACCCGCTTGTATTGGTTGTATTACCGAATAATGCCTTAGCTCTGGAGGTAGCTGCCTGTGCTGCATCCATTGTTCTGTATCGCTTCTCTTGATCATCCACTCTTCTACACGAATGGTTGCGGATTCTAGGTATCTTTGTTCATTTTAATGTAATGTCAGTATCACACATTACCTTATACTAACAAAAACTAAAGATTAATATGATATAAAGATAAAATTCAATCAACATACAGGCTATAGCTATGAGAATTCTTGAAGAAATTTATCTTTAGCAATGTATGGAGGCCAAAGCTAGCCAAAGAAAATTTCACTTTTCTGATTTGAACATAGGAGTCCAAAGCAACTTACATTATATAATTCCAATAAATGGGTATATTAAGTGCTTCTTTGGAGATATGATTTGCTGGACTTACTTGCATATTCCCAATGAGCATTCCAAAGAGAACCAGCTTGCAATGACAATGGTGAAAAGTATTTCTACCATATAAGTTCTTGTAGATAGATTTTGTCGTATGAAGCTGCATTTATTCATTAAAAAAAATTATTAGTAACATGGAGCATTAACAGAGAGTTCTGAACTGGTTAATGGGGTACTTGGTAGTTCAAATGCGGAGAGTAAGAACTGTTCAATATTCTATGTTGAAATGTAATAACCTCAGGCTAGTAGAAAATGAAAGAAACTGAAGTGAACAAGAAGATTTGCAAGAACAGGTTACAAAGGTCAGTCCCATTTTATCATACATCATATTCTCCCTTAAGTATGGAATGAATCAAAACCAAAATTTTGTGTTTGAAACTGATTTCTCCATTAAGCAATAGAATTATGAACGCCAGGTTTCGAAGTAAACTAACCTCAGGTTCTTTAAACCCTACCATAGACAGTAAAAGTACTTATTGAAGAATGCCGTGCCTGTAATATTGTCGGCTGCTGCATCACCATATATATTAAACTGAGCTTTTATCATGTCAGTAGTTAAAAAAAAAAAAAAAGATTTTTAACTAATAGCAATTGAAGAATCCTTGTTCACAAATCACAATACTTGGAGGGTTTGATCGGTTTGATCGGTAATCTGAAAAACAGTTTACAAAAATTAAATTCTTACTCTGAATTTTAAGATATATTCAAACACAGTATTATTGATGAAATTAAAATAAATCTCTAATTACTAGCTTATAAAAATTACTTTGTTTAATAATTCACAAAAGTATGTTTTTAGAAAACCAAAACGTATTTCCTTCTTTTAATATAAATAAAATAAGAAAAACTAGATTTTAAATAACGACTCCAAATTATCAACGTGGTTATGTTTGTCGTCCATGGGATAATTTTTTTTTGAAAGAAAAAATTTATGTAAATCCAGTAATAGAAACCTTATCACTATCTAATTAGATGTTATCAGTATCCAGGATTCTTCTGCATTCATGGTTAAATTTTTATAAATGCTTATCTCAAAAGTGCTATCAGGTCAAGATAAACCATATAAACATAAACTTAAAAGGACGCAAGAAATATAAACAAGAGAAACCTGAAAACTCAATAAAAAAAAAAAAAAACTCGGAAAGCCAGTGAATTTATTTTCTGAAAAGAAGGAAAAAAAAAAGGAAAAAGAAAAATCTAAACAGGTGGCTTCACTTGTATCCTATATGTTAAACAATAATTCTTAAAAAAAAAATCTCTATTCTTGTGTAGCAGAAGCAGCTTCTTTCAAGCATGACCTCATGATTTCCCCAAGCTTAGCAGATGCATCAAGACAAAGCTGCATTGCCTGAATGTTAAAAAGAAAACAATTTAGAACCATAGGGTCCATCAAACTCTTTTAACTCGAGTTCATGAAATCACTTTTGTATGATGAAGAAAACAGCCGGCATACCTCGTTGAACTTTGATGTTGACCATTCCCCAGTAACGGTTAATTGTGTCACTTCATAACGAGAAGGCATGCAAGCAATCATTAGGCTTCCATCTTGGTAGCTTTCCTCCTCCAAAACAGGATCAATCAGAAGATTTTTCCCTAGGCATGACTAGGAACCAAAAACACAAATATTTGTGAGGATTGATTGAGATAATTGATTCGATTATAGTATATGAGGGATTCAAATGTGAGAATTTCAGACAATAAGAGAACTCGACTAAAAGGTTAAAAAAAAAAAAAGTTGCTTTGAAGAGAAACTCATTTTATTGATTTTTATCTGAAAAAAAAAAAAAAAGACAAAACTAGCTTAAAGTACGGTCACAAATTTGTTGTAATCATGAGCTTCAAGAGAGAACAATTCATATTATTTCAAGACTCTAAGAAGTGAAAACTATATTATGGCTGCAACCAACCACTATTACTAGCACTGCTATTAGCAACTGCCACCACCAAAGCAGATGCCACATCCATCACTCTTTCCTCTCTTTCATTAGATTATTCATTTTTCCACTATAATCATCTTAATATTGAATTAAACAAACGATTAGGTCAGCATATTGTCACTAATGGTTACTACTCCAGCAGCACTATCATAAAATTGTTGTGAAAGTTGCCTAGCAAGTAGATGTCTTCTCTTATTTATTTATTTTTTTTCTCTTTTTCCTCACCAGAAACATAAGATAACAAGAATTACTTCTCTAGTATGCAATGTCCAATGGTGCCATCATTATCAGTTGATCCTCAAGTTAATCGATTCAACTCAATGGAAAATATAACTCAATCCATACTCTGTTAACTGAACCCAAACACTAGCCATGATAAAAGAAAATAAAACAAAAAACTTCATAGAAATCGACAATTCAATCCTTGATGGTTAGGCTATAAGCCAAAGTCCATCCTTTTTTATATATCAGATACACAAGAAAGCAGGTAATGACTTGGCAGAACCCAAAGCTGCGAATGGAAGACATAATGACTAAATATATTAGGTACCAGGCTACCAGCAACATAAATTTGTTCCCCAATAAATAATTCTATCCAGACTTCCATATATTTTTTTTTTTTCCTAAGAATTAATAGTTGGTTTGCATATCTGCAAAAGTACAGCGCTTGACCAAAATGAAAGGTGAAAGAAGAAAACTTCAATAATTCCAAGGAACAATTGTTTAGAGGCACACAACACAAACTTGAGTTGCAAATAGAAAAAGTAAAAAGTTCCATGTGTCTGTGAAAGATGCATACCACAGAAACTGAGGCAACAAGGTCATACATCATAATACCAGCATCTGCAAGGGCAAGACTAGCACATGATACCACAACAGGGAGATCACCTACAATGAAAAGAATGTAAAGCTTATCAACTTGTGCAAAAGAAGTCTTATTGCCAGGCCAACACCAACATATAAAAGAGAACCTATTTTCTTGAATACAGGACAAATGCCCAACATAATACAGAGATATAAGAAGCTATAGAGACTGAAAGCATTTCCTTCATATCTAGATATGGCCTCTGATTTTAAGATTATTTTATTACTGAAATGAATCCAACCCTTTTCCAACATGTCTACTGCTACCCATCCAAAGCAAGTTTAGCCAATGTTAACAAACTTTCCAAAAATAAATTTCATTTTCATATTGAGAATACATATGTAGTCCATTTGGTATTTTCCTCAAAATAAAGATACAAGATTTTTTTTTTTTTTTTTATCTGGTAGAAAACCATGATAAACTAAGATGCATTTTAGATTATTTTAATTCATTATCAAAGACTAGTAGCAAGATCAATAACTTGTTACAGAAGGTAGAAAGGATTAAAGGAAAAAGAAAGGTTAAAAGATAAAAGATTTGAGTAAGAAAATTAGATAAAAAGCACAAAAAACTGAGCTTAAATCAGGAAGGCCACTTCAATCCTTAATTTTAGTCATCTATGAACACCTGAACAGGTGCTTATGGCAAGATTCTTATGCATCAAGAAAAATTATTATACGAAGGATTAGTAAAAACAGTACGAATGTAGCTCATGACTAGATAAAAATATAAAAAATACAGGAAAAAGGTTACAACTAAGATAAACCTATATGAAGCTCAATTTGAACTCCTTAAACCACTTCATTCTTTGCTCTTACTTTCTTTTTCTTTTTCCAGGATGAAAAATTTAAGCACACAAGTTCTTCTAGTGATAGACTCAAATTCAAATGTCAATGCAAATTGTAAACTTACTGCCTCCAGATTCCAACACCAATGCAAAAACATCAACTGTTGTCTTAGGGAAAGTTTCCACTATTATTACACCCTCCAAAGCTTTATGAAGCATAGATGAAAATTCTTTGTGGTCTGATCCCTAAGTAGTTCAAATATTAGATCCAATAATTAGGAGAAAACAAGAAAAGATTCATAAAATACACAGATGGGACAGTTCTACATACCTGTCCACGAACTGGTGCAGCAAAAGTTGTATAGCTGACATTACAATTTAACCGACCTATATCACTGTACATCATTGCTTTCTTACTTTCCCTTGGCCCAAATCTGAAATGAATTTATAGAGACAAATCATCCAGATATACACACCCTAGACATATTACATTGCCTGCCACAATAAAGCCTACTACCACAATAAAAGTAAAATAATTGCGGAAAAGTGCCCCAAACCACAGAAAAACCATTTCTACCTAAACTATGTGACATAATTTAGATCAAGGAAGATACGAATACATAAAAGTATAGGATATACTCACACTGACACAATCACCTTGGTATTTCCAAATTCTGCATAAGCAGATCCAGCTGCAGAATTCACAGCACCAGTCCGGAAAACTGTAAATCACCAACAAGACAGTGTTTTCTTCAAGAAAATCATAAATTGCAACATAATGTCATAGCAATCCACCACACCAAATTAAAAAAGCCCAAAACACAAGCCCTAAATTTTCTATAGCACCAATTATATAAATTTCAATGTTCTTTAAAAATTCCAAGGCAATCTTTCTATGTCAAAATAAATGATTTGGTCCCGACATATACAGTTTATATAAGGAAACTGAAACAATGTTAACAATTAAAAGAATTACAACTTGCATGCTCACTTCAATTCAAACATATCATCAAATATGTAAAAGAAGGGGGAGACAAGGACCAAATATAGAGCATATTGTCACAACCCCATGTAAAATTGCAATTGACTAGTTCCAAATGGTCAGTTGTACCATGAATACTGAACCAAAACACTATGAAACTAACCCGGGCCCACATTAAAAACCAAAAAAGAAGACTAAACGTGCATATCCCACATAATTTCCATCTTTAAACAACCATCAACTACAAATCCCCACAAATGGTAGAAAACTAAAACTAGAGGAAAAAGGAGTATATAGCCAATCAATAAACACTTGAATATGAATAACCAGCTCATCTTAGCAACAGTCATTTAGAAAAGACTGATACAAATCACAAACTGTCCAAGTAAGAAAGGAAATATCATATAAGTTGAGCTTTAAATGCCAATGCGTATAAGCTTTTTGATGATTGTTTCATTAAGCATCAAAACTACAATCTCTAATAGTTTTAATGCACAACTCGACATCTCTTTAATCCTAGTCCACAATATCACACTCTGTTACATTAGAATTTAGTATGAAATCAAGGGAATAAAAGGACATGTAGCATACGGATTTGAACAAGCTTAGCAGGTAAAGTCTCTTGTCATTGAGTCACTGCAATAGAGGACCGGATTCTAATCCCACCTCCACAAGGAGAGGGACATTGAACACTAAAAGGAGTAGGAACAAAACCCACTCGCATCCATACAATTAAAACACCATTATAAAAAAGTGATACTCTTGAATCCCAAAATGAACATAAAATAATATTGAAAATCCTAATTGGTACATATAAAAATCCAGACAACAATAGAGAGTTTGGAGTGTAATGTAATAAGACATGGCCGGCCCTTTCATACATACTAAATAAGCATGCGTTAATGCATGCACTTGAAGAACAGACAGAGAATACATTTCTGCCAATGTAATGCAAAAAATAAAGAAAAAAATTCAAATGCAAATTGTGATCAAACAATTCAACAATAGTCTAGTCTACTTATATAACTATTCAAAAAAGTGTTCACTCTACACAAAACAAAAACAGGGCTCAAGAATGAATAAATAAAATTATATATATATATTAAAAGCACATAAATAAAATAAAAATTAAAAAAAAATTTAAGGAAATAAAAAGAGACAAGTAAAGAAAAGAGTGGGCTTACAAGCGGGTCTACACTGCTGAAAGGCACGAGAGTCGGGTCGTAGCCAGTCGACATCAGAGCCAGTGAAAATAGATGGTCGGGTTTTATTGGTCGGGTCAATCGGAGAGTAAGTGGTTGAAGCTGCACCAGGTTTAGCAGCCATTCTCTATTTCTTCTGCTTCTCAAGCAGTTCCAACATTCACGACTTGCACAGACGGCAGATCCAATCCAAAGCTAACCCACTAATCATCACCAACCATCATCAGATCCAAAGCCAAATACCACAAATATATGACTCAAAATTCCATCGACTTTGAGAGATAGAAGAAAAGAGAAGAGGAGAGAAAAGAAAAGCAAAGAGGGAGAAGGAAAGAGATGGAAGAGCGAAGGAGAAGTAAGAAGAAAGGTGAAGAAGAAGGAAAAAGGAGGAGAAGAAAGACGAAGGAGAAAAGGAGAAAAAAGATGAAGAAAGTGTGGCGCTGGAGAAAGAAGATAGGGTGTGGCGCTGGAGAAGAAGATGGGGCTTAGTAGGAAGTCGGATAATTTATATTGGTAGAGTAAATCACATGTAACCCCCTGATACTTAAAAAAATAGCACTTATACCCTTTCGAGCCATTCAGGAGCCTATCGAGCTGAGTAGTGGGTGGTTCGTAACTCGGCTAGAGAGGGTACTCGAGCCGCTCGAGCTCAAGCTTCGGCTCGACAAAAGTCGAGCCAAACCTGGTTCGTTCGATCCGAGCAGCTCGAGAATACATCCCTAATTGAAGGCAGTAATTTATATTGAAATAAAAATATTCCAATTAAGTAATATTATTTGCACAAATTATTTCATTATACAAAGTTATAGAATAAGGATTTATAATTTTGAGAGTTAAAGAATAGTAGTACAATATCGGAATTCTAAAATTACAATACTTTGTGTAATGGTAAAATGTCACTTCCAGGAATTTGAGGTGGCGCAAGAAAATGCCTGTTATGTTGGGGAATTTACGGAATTTCAGAATCAGTTTGATTTTAGAACTAGGTTTTCCATAATAAATTTGAATTTAATGTTACTGTTATGGAATAAAGAGTCAATTTTATATGGAGATTTCACAAGCTTTGGAAGTTTACAGACCGAGTCGACTCGTTAAGCGTTTCTTTCATTCTCTCCTTAAAAATGATAGAAGGATGAAAAAACTAATAAATAATTCTGTAAAATAGATCGATTGAAACCCATAATTCTGAAAAGGGTCTGGGATAAAACCCTGAAACTAGGCGGGTTAAGACCCGGATGATCCTAAAAAATTCCATGACTGTTAGATTGAGATTCAATACTAATCGATATAGGCTCCGCAGAAGAACCTGACTTCTCCGATAACACATCCATGGGAACGAGCGAAGTCTCAGAATTTGGATCAATCAACATAGCCTTAGATGAACTACTTGAGCTAGTCCGGTTCCTTCGCGAACGAAGTTCAGAATCAACAACGGAGTTTTTTGTTCGTAACGAGGGAGAGATAGAATGGAGTTCTTCACGAAGTTCGAGACAAAAAAAAGTTTCTCTATGGCCTCCTCGTTTTGAGACATTATGGCTTTTGGTGGTTTGAATAAAATTGCATCACACCATTCAACAAGCCACTGAAATAAGGAATTGATACAAATAAAACAAGAATAAGATACACAAGTTCCAAGATCCAACACTACAAAAGATTTCAAGGAAACCTTCAAATTTATTCAACATAGATCAAACTAAAAAAAAAAAAAATTAATCAATTTTCATTTTGTATTTCCTGCTCACTTACACAAATACATGTAAATAAAATGCTTCCAAACTAGAAATATAGGTCTAGGGAGGGGGAGGCCCCGGCTCAAAGAGTGGAGGACAGCAGCTTCTGAACAAACCACAGCAGCACAGGAGCCACAAGCTGCACAATGCAGAAACAACCAAAAACAGAATTGAGAAAATCAGAATAAACCTGAAATTTAAGCTTCATTTGTTTTGATATATGTTACCATGATTCCAGAAATCCTCCAGCCGGAGCAGGGGGGGTAGGTGGCAGGAGTGGTGTGCTTGGTGGCGGAGGTGGATCCATTGCTGACCCAAGAAGTTTAATTTGGGAAAAGACTTTGCTTGGAGGACAGTTAGATGGGTTATGTACAAGTTGAAGTTTTTATATGTTGAAAATTGCACCAACCTGTCTTCAAGTCAGACCTCCATTTCTGGTATCTACCATTCAAAGAGAGATCTCAAGATCTACAGCCAGCTAACACATGAGCAAAGTAAACTGTATAACATGAATACGTAGCTACTTTTACTAGTAAATAACTAATAATTTTGGAGCATTCAAGTTCTATCCTAAGAGAGAACAAGATTTGTAGCAAAATAAGCAACAACAAAAAAGATGCGTTTGAGCCATATTGACCCTTGATTGTTCACTAATGTAAAGTATTCTTTTCCTCCATTGACGTTATGAAATTTCAGAAGTTCATTTCTTGGCTAACTGAGCTCAGTAACATTTCGATACCATTCTGATACACAAAGTAAACTCAGTTTAACTCCACAAAGCCATAATTCCAAACTAGTTGAGTTTCTACTAACAAAATCAAAGCAAATTGCTATTACGTATAATGCAAATATTCCATGGACTAACTGATATATATATTGACATGTTCAATATCATTTATGAACATTTTAAATTTTGAATTTCCCATGATTTTCTGTACATAGATACAACGTAATTAGAAACATGATAATTTGGTGAAAACCACCTGTGGATGTGAGACTATATTTTTTTTCTGAAAGAAGCCGAAAAGAATTAAAATGAAGCAAGTCCACAGAAAAACCTCCTTGCTTCCTCTATTATAAACTCCTCCAGCCTAGAGCAGCAAAAAGAAACCAAAATAAAACTTGTAAACCAAATGTACATAATCTGGATGAGTTCTTGTCGTTGCTTTTTCCAGAATCATTTGCCCTTAAAGGGTAGTTCTGTCAGGGAGACTTAACATTTGCCATGCAGAATGACTCGAATCGAGGCTCAGTTAAGTCCACTGTTTCATCATCTGGAGCACGGCCACTCCTTGCTTTCAGCGTTAGAAGGATTAACCTCTCCACATACTCAGCTGGAACTGTTTCTACTTCTATACTGTTGCTTCCTGTACAAAGTTTTTGGTCATTCCCCAATGGTGGCGAACAACTAGGTGACCTAATAGATGCCACTTGCCCCAGCTCTTGTGCATCTATGGATGCCTCTATTAGATTGTCAGGTGTTTCTGTGACTGGCGCGCCGGTTGAAGACATCTACAGTAAACAAGAAGTATGGAACACTTGTCAAGTATCTAACAACTGAAAAGACCTTTACTAAATTCAGTAGATGAAAAGATATACAATATACAAAAAAAGCAGGCAACTATTGAGAAAGAAAAGGGGAACAGAAGGTGAATGGACTCAATAAACAAAGATCTATTAAATGCCACATTATAGCAACCAGTTAAGCACACGACAAGGCATGAAGTAATAAGGCCCATTTGATTTTGCATGACATGATAAAATCTCTAGAAACGGTTAGGTATAACAAGAGAAATTGAATCTCGGCAAATCAACCCTCATAAAATAGCCCAACTAGATTAGATGGGATATATTTGCTGGTACAGACTATCCTATTCCACAAGTTCTGGAAATAAGATGTGCAGTCGAGTTTCAAGCAACTCAAGCACATGTCGATAATTGTGCAGATGCAAAGATGAAAAATAATTTTAGGGTGGCACAAATGTGAATGCTTATAATCATATTACACACATGATCACAATTGAAGGTATTATAATTGTTGAATTCCTAAGATAAGAATGTGAAAACTTAGGAGTTATCTAGGCATTATCTAGTTTTTAAATTTAAAAGTTAGGATAATCCTAACTTAAGGTTATCAAGATATCTAGAGTTAGTCTATAACTAGAGATGTATGATATGTATTTTTTTAAGTGAATAAGTGTGAATAAGTTTTTCCTCTATTTTTTCAATAATATCTTTGGAGGACCATCACCAGTAAGGCAAAGCAGGAAGCTGTTAACCAGAAGAGAAAGTCTAACAAAAGTCAATTCTATAGTGCAAAAGACATACTTGGTATATGTTTATACCTGAAAGAAATTCACTGGAATGTTTAATCTTCTGGACTTATCTGGGGCTATGGTTGAAAGGATTTGCACAACCTCAGTCATGGTTGGTCGTGCATCAGGGTCCAACAGCAGGCACTCCCTTGCTAGGTAAGCCATTATCTGCATTTCTTCTTCTGGGAAACTCCCTTTTAAACGTGGGTCAGGCAATTCTGATATCACTTGGCTACTATCCTGTAATCGAGGGGTTGCCTATACAAGATGAGAGATACACAAATTACATCATGTTAGACATGAATTATGTATCTTAGTAATAGTTTGCAACTTGAAACAACGGAACCATGACCATGAGAATACAAATTCACTGCTTAAAAACCAGGGAAACTAAATAATTGGAAGTGACAGGACAGTTATCGCCTAGTTTGAAGAAGACAATACACTCCACACCAAAGGTGGATGCATAAGAGTAATTACAAGTTAAGAGGCTTCATCATGGTCCAAGATGACCCAATGTTTGTGATGGCCTCCAATGAATCATCATAACAGGTAAAGGTGAAGTTTTGAAATGTAAAAGCATCATAAGAACCAAAACTCAACCTAGGGGTTGTATTCATACAATAAAATAATGATGATTCTTACCCAAAGGACAAGGCTTTCTTCCCCTTTATTAGTTGATTTATGGATTGGTTGCCGGCCAGTAATAAGCTCAAGTAAGACAACCCCAAAACTGAAAACATCTGACATAAGAGACGCCCTTCCAACAATCGCATACTCTGGCGCAAAATAGCCAAAAGTGCCCTGCATTCTTGCTGGAGAACTGGAACAGCTGGGAAGGCCATCAGCTCTCAATCGTTTAGCCATACCAAGATCAGTTATCTGCATATATTTAATAGTTATCATGTATCATAAAGACTCAAGAAGTCAACTAATCTTTTCCTTTTTCACAAAAAAAAAAGAAAAAAAAAAAAGAAGGTGATGTTTTCCAGATATCAAAGAGAGTAGATGTCTAACTGATTCAGCTGTATTCATGATTAAGATAACTTTTTGATACTTTCTCTTCTTCTTAGAATTTGATATCTGTGGTGCAAAAGTCAAGATTCTTACCTTCGCTCTCCAATTCTCATCGAGAAGAATATTTGTGGACTTGATGTCTCTATGCAAAATTCTAGGAGCAGCTGCTTCATGGAGATACTCCAAGCCCCTGGCAGCTCCAATTGCAATCGCAACACGAGTATCCCAGTTCATGCTCTCCCCCAACACACCATCCAAACAATCCCTCAGATTTCCGTTAGGCAGGTACTCAAAAACAAGTAGCCTTTCAGCATGTTTCCCTCGGAACTCCGAACAGTAGCCTAGCAATGGAACCACGTGACAATGATGAAGTCTTGATAACAAGTCAACCTGAGGAGAACAAGAAATCGTCAACTTCCTTCAGTGATGCGGAGCATAGTTATTTGTTTTTTAAATCATTTGAGAAAGAATTGGAGTGTAAATAAGATGTTGTTTAACCAACAAATGAAAACTAATAGCACATCAAGATTGCAACCTCTGTTGAGAAGACAGAATCTGCATCAGGCCCTCCCTGAGTTTTGAATCTCTTAACTGCTACAATTCTACCATCTTTGAGTTGACCACGATATACATAGCTGCTTCCTCCATGTCCTATAAGGTTGGAATTGGAAAACTTATCCGTTGCATGCAGCAATTCAGAGTATGAGAATTGGATAATGGTTCCACGAATAGTGCATGTCTTGTTCCTATAAAAAGAAGTATTCTGAAAGCACCCTGCAAAATTGAAGATAGAGAGTTATAGCTCAGTATCAAATTAAGTAAAAGATGGAAATACGTTATACTATGTACAAAGAGCAAGATATAAATTTTACTAAATTTCAGAAATAAGTAAACTAAGAGAAATAGCCAAGAAACGGATATTTGATAGGTCATATTCAATCATAAAGAATCCATTTTCATCATGCAAGCAAGTTAAACCATTATATTAGCTCATCTACCTGTGACAAGATTAATTGGAGAGCCCATGTCAACTCTAATATCTGTAAATGAAGAACTCCTGTGATTTATTAAGTTGGTAGCACTATGGCAACTTGTTTCTTTATCTGATGAAAATTTTGGTGTTTGGATATGGCACTTGTCCTTCCGATAAATGTAGCACATTGCCGAAGTAAGAAACGCAAGTGTTGTGAATATGACACATAGTAATAGAATAATCACGACAACTTTACTGGAAATGCGCTTCCCTGAGGCTTTTGCCTCATTCACACTGAGAGAACCTGATAAGAATCAAACAGATACCACTCAGGTAAGCTCCTGAATTCCTTTATTCATGCCATCATATGACTTGAAAATATGAAACATAGGCATCATCCAGAAAAGAGGTAAGTGTATACGTGTATAGGGTAAGTTTCTGAACTCCTGAAATTGAACACCATCAAATGACTTAAATATGTATATAGGGTAAGATAATGCAAGCCAATATATTATTATATGGAAACATGGGATGTATATGAATCATAGGGGGAAATGTTGCATCTTGTAATAGATTACTTATTCTAAAAATACCCTCCAGAAAAGCCTAACGTACTGGTTCATGTTGTATACCATTTTAACCCAGTTGATCAGTTATGAGAACATTAATCAACATTCTCTACAAAGAGAATAAACATTAATGAAAGGACAAACAGACAAATAATAAATTTAAAGGGAGCATCTGTTCACACATTGTGCAAGAAAAGAGTTGTCCATTACTTGCCATTCTTTTTCAGAAGTCCAAGCTCTAAGATGCACAGCATAGATTGATCGACAGGCCATATACAAATTGAAATAAAACTCAGTTTACTAAATGATGTGGCAATATATATAATACATCAATAAAAGGATTCCACAAACTTAATCAACTGATAGTTTGGGCATGACAAATGACATGATTTAATGCAAAATTCATCAGAAGATTGCCTCTGTCTATATAACAACGACAACCTTTTATTTTTAATACCCACACAAGTTACATGTTATGGGGTTAATAGGGAAAAAGGTACCAGAAGTGCAGTTGCAGCCGGTAAAACAGGTTGTATCATGGCTGTTGATTGCAACTTTAGGGAATCCATCAGCGGCACATACACATCTCCACCTACCTCCACTCGATCCTCCAACTGCTAGAGAAAAGGTTTATGCAGTTAGTCTTTCTAATACTGTAAAAGATTATCAATCATGGTTCATTATTATTCATGATACACGTATGCACTCACATGCATAAAAATGGCCTCAGCGCACAGTTGTACTAGGTCAGGTAACAAAATAATTAAAAATGGCTCAACTCAACTTAAAATATTAGTCAGAAACATGACAAACTTTTCATGGAATTAAAAATAAAATAACAGTAATAAAACAGGTGGCGAAGGGGTGTGTGAAACATATTAGAGTGCTGAACAGTCATTCCTTCAAATTTGTTGGTCAAAACCATGAAAATAGGACATAATAAAATACCAGAAATGTTTCCAAAGTGCATAAAAAAATATTACCAAATCCTACTTAGTAAAACATAGTCTGCCATTAATTACAAAATTCAAGAGCTTTTAAACTCAAAAAGAGTACAAACCTAGATTGCTTGGCCCTGAAATATGGAAAATATTAATAAAAATAGCAATAATAATACTTTGTATAAGAAACTAAGAATTTCCCATGCCGGGATCTTTTATTTTTCTCCCCTTCTTTCTAGATTAGCACATTTTGACATAAAATTTCCCTGAAACTTATTTTTTGGTCAAATTGTTGCGCTATATTACATGGCTAGGCCCCTGCCCTCCCCTTAACCCCCTTGAAAATTTTTCTTCAACTAAATTAGCAAACAAAAAATAATGTTTAAAATACAATAACAAAATCATGATCTACAAAATTTTTAGCAGAAACAATTTATGCTATATGCAGTTTGAACTTCTGGACAATTATATCTTAAAAATCATAGGCGTACCTGGATTGCAGTCACAGGATGTAGAACAGTTTGATTTCAGAATATTGCTCTGGTTTCCTTGATTTGAGGAAGAACATGTGCATGTCCAGTTGCTTACACCTGAGGTGCCAGAAAGATCATCTGCTATGAATAAATTTACTACAGTGAGACCTTCATAGCTATAATATATATGATACAAATTATAGTGAAAGGCCATTGTACGTAGCCCCTTCACTTATCAAAAATGATTTTTCTTTTTATAGGACACAACTAGTATATTGAAAATGAGAATTAAATGTTACAATGGTGGACAAGGTGCCCACAGTAAGAGAGTCAGATCTCAAAAATGATTCATCCACTGCACAAAGAGAAATATTATGAAGCTTTATCTACAAACAAATTCTTATCTTAGGGATGTCAGAGGTGATGATAGGATTTTGCTGTTGCAGACATTTTATCTCTAAAGGGTCATTGCTTTGGAGGTGTGTGTCAATTGAAAAACAAAAGCATTTAGAAGCTTTGTTGATACAGTAACAGTTTAGAACTTGGTGAACACTTATGGAGGGTCAAGGGATTTCTGGGTTGTATCTCTGATTTCCTAGAATTACATTATAGGTAATAATTAGCAAGAAAAAATTTAACAGCACAAACATAAAATACTGACCACAAAGGCTTTGCTGAATCCAGGCCAAGCCAACAAGACAAGCAAGGGAAACTTTCACTTGGAGCTTCATTTATGCCAGTCCAAACACTAAAGAGAGACAAAAAGGCCTGTCACTTGAATATTCTAATTTCATAATGAATTCAGCAATAATATGAGAGCCTTCCTTTCCCAAAAGCCTACAGATATTTTTCCCTATCCTGCCATGTTAGTACTTTGTGATCTTGGAGGAGAAAATTATGAGTCCTCTCCTAGAATTTTGTTGATTCTGAAAATTCTAAATTCTGAAAATTCTACGGTGATTATGTTACTTACTACTCAAGGCGTTGCAAATTAACAACAAAAACTCGAGCAATTTTTACCAGTATTCTCAAACTTATTATTATAAGGGAACTAGTCAAGTCTTGATCAATTAAAGAAAGAGACTCGATAATCATTTAATTAGCAACTTGAAAAGAAACATGAGATTCATATTTTTATTCCTTTTAAGTCCATTTTGTCATTTTCTTCACAAACAATACTAAAGCCTATCACAAAAGGCTCAGGAAAATAATTATCTAACCATCAAGTTGTATGAAAAGCAATTACAAGTAGTTTCAGAAGCAGTCAAACGATCAACATTTTTGGATATTTCATCCAAAAGAGCGATATGTAAAAAGTTCTAACTATAATAAAACATAAATAAGCAAATAGAAAGAATGATGTATATGTACCTTCATTGGGGGCCAGATGTCTGTGTTTCCCACTTCTTTGTTCTCAGATTGCCCTATCTGTACAAAGCAAAATATAACAGAAACTTAAGAGAACAAATGTGAAAAAAAGACCGTGATGATTCAATTAGAAATAAAAACGCGAAAATCAAGGTAAAAAGAAAATGCCAGAAACATTTATAAATGAAGATACAGTAGTTAACATCCATGGAAAGCAGATATAAATAACCTGACACCAGAGAATCACATATGGAAATTGTTTGAACAAAAAGGATTGTTTGGAAGCTCTTCGGAATCAATCATATATTTACAGTGAATGAAAGTCAAAAAAAATTGGATAGATTAGTTTAGAATGCGATATTTTGTGAGCAATAGAAATTGCATATAAAGACCAAAAAAAAAAAAAAAAAATTCAATAGTAGAAATAGATATGCATATGGAAAATGAAAATGGAGGGGTAGGAATTGAAAATTTTCATAGTTGGCCAACAAACACTAAATCTTCCAGTTCTTTTCATCTATGAAATAAATTTAGTAACAAACACTCTACACAATCCAGTAGCAATCAACAGTAATAAATTAGCTTCAGTCAGTAAGATAATGATTCACAACTAAAGGTCTTAAATGCATAATTGTTTGTCCATCCAAAGAAAAACGCACATGAATACCATTTCATAAAAGTTACAGCATGTTTTATAGTTACATCAAACAATTAAGATACACTGTCAGCAGGGTACAAGTCCTTTTATTAAGTAATGGCCCCTCAGGACTAATTACAGAGCCGTTCCATCAACATTTTCCAGAACAAGAAAAAGACTAGCGGAGCACTTCATTGAAGATTTAAATGAGAACTCTCAAAAAGTCAGAAAGCATACCAAGTTAGTCCAAACGCTGCAAGAAAAGCAAGAACCAAGCAAAAGAAAACAACCCAGAAGACCAAAAGATTGGATGACAATAAAACTGGACAAACCAATCACATTAAAATCTGTGCCAAAGTTTATAACGGGAAAAGCAAAGATACAAACAACAGCAATATTGAATAGATAGAGATTGATGTGTTTATAAAACAAAATGCTGAAAATGAGATGGAATTTTTCAAATAAACAAATTAGCCACCTCTTTGAAAAGAACCCATTTGCAAATTTGAAAGAGACTACTCAACCATTTTCCAGTAGCTAAAACACTGCTTAGGATTAATAGCCCCAAAATTATGTAACGTGGCTACAGTTTAAAAGTGGGAAGTTTTAAAAAATCAAACGTATGATGTAGAAAACAAACAAAACAAACGCCAAACGGCTAAGAAGACTTGGCTTCAAAGCGATACGTTGAGGTGTGGGCACTGAAAAGTATAATTTCAACGTTAAGCTGAGCAGAGTGGAGCCCATGAAAGTGGGTGTCGCCTGTGGGGATCGAACAGACAAGGAATTGCATCGTAGTAGGCCCAAAGTGATGTACACCGTGTGATTTAACTATTCCATTAATGACATCAGATGAGATGAACAATAAGGTGGGGTTCGTCGGCAGCGTAATTATCGTCATTAAGATTATTAATCACACATAATGAAAGGTGGAATCTTGCCAAGTTAAATGAGTGTAAAATGTAGAAGTAAAAACGGGAGCAGGTGATTAATTTAGAATTGAAGAAGAAATAGCGAGAATGGCGTACCTAAAAAAGAATGAAGATTATGGTTTTTGTCTACATGTCTCATTCAAGCAGCAGTGATGTATCTCCTCAGCTCCAGAAGGAGCTTGAAAGAGACCAAAGGAGCACTTTCTTAAAAATTTTGAAGAAATGGGAAGATAGGAGAAGGACAAATAGCCATGGAAGGCAACAGTTTTGAAGAGAGTGAAGAAGAAGAGGGGCTTAAAGGGGTTCTGAAATTGAAAGATGATGCACTGTTGACGAGGTGGCGCAGGTTCCTCGCTTTGTGCAGAAAGTGACGTGGCGTTGGGTATGTGTAAAGTAAATCTCACCAATAATAGTAGTATTACTATTACGCTTTCCGAGTTTGTATTAAGCCTTATAAATCCGCTAAATTATATGATTAGGAGAAGAGCTGCATTTCAGACTATGAATTATTCTAATTATAACTATGATATTTATTTTGAAAAATTGGAGATGCCTGATTAAAGGTAGGTTTATGATTGGAAATAAAATATAAAAAAGAATGGGGCTATTTGATATGAGATGATATGCATTAATTGATGTGGGACAGGGCAACCCATGAAGGAACTACTATAGCTTTGGGATTTTTATTATTTTCTAAAACAATTGCTAAAACTATCAAAAACTAACATTAAGAAAGTTTAATGTAAAAGAGCACCTATCATGGTTCCTTAAATTTGAGTTCTCTTCGTGATAAGAGAGTAAAAGAAAATTTTAATATGATTTTTTGAGTTTAGGTTTTCAGGAATGCTTATAAAATTGTCTACTGAAGCTTTTACTTGTCCCTAATTTTGAGGTCCTGAAAAAATAATTAAGATCTCATCCCAATATTCTGGTCTTCAAAAACAAAATTGAAATACAAGCCCGCCTTTTGTTTTGAAAGAGATTATGTAACAGTAGAGTGATCAGTTGGTATCAAACCAAATTATATAATTAAAAGCAAGCAGAGAACATTGTTTTTGACGTCTTTATGTAAAGTAAGAGCTAAGAAGACTTGACAAGCCGACTGTAATTCGTTTAACTTTAGAATAATTGTTAGTCTTTTTATGATTTCTTTTTCTTTTTATATCTATATTGTCGTTGATTATATGCTACTAATTGAAATGAATAAAATTATGAATTCATACAGATGGTAATTAAATATGATAACGAATGGTTTGATTCTGAGTAAATTTTCAAAATCCAATTCCATTTATTAAAACCACCAAACTGGACCACTCAGTTTAACAGATTGGACCATAACTATATTTCCAGAGTCTTTTTCAGTTACAGTTACAGTTACAGTTAAAGTTAGTCATCATCTATGACTTTGTCTTTTTTGAGTTTGATATACAGATTGGTTTTGTTGGAGGATTTTTGTCACAGTTGGTTCAAGAGAAGGCCATGGAAGATTGCGTTGCGTTAGAGGTGATTGATACGCAGCAAATGTCAGGCTGATGGCCTCAATCCATGCTTTCCAGTTGTAGTACATTTTAGTTTTTGTTGACTAAAGGCCGCCAGTATTGTTTGCTCCTGACCTGAACTCTATCAATAGTAGTAGTACATTTAGTTTTGATGATTAAAGGCCGCTGGTATTGTTTGCTTATTAGGTGGCAGGCACTTTCAAAAGCTTGCTTAAAGGAGAAACAAAACCTATATATATATATATATATATATAACAGTCTATCAAGTGGGACAAATTCAGCTTTTAATAAAAATGATATTCTAATTTATTTTCAACACAGAAATTAGAAAACATGTCAAGAAAATGCATCTAATTATGTGCTACGTTTTCTCTATTTTTCTCCCTCTCTTACGGATGTAATGTCGTTTGCTCAACAGATGACATATCATTTCTTCAGAAACAAGTCGTTTTTTAAAATTCTGTACGGTAAATGTAACTTAGGTCCACCATGAATTATATATTTACATAAGGGCTTTTAAGATAATAAGGAAACCAAAGGGGGTTTAAATGATATTTGCTTTGGTTTTTATCGAACACGACATGTTGTTTGCCGTTGCATAAAAACGACTTGTCATTTTAATAGTTAAAACGACGAGTTATTTTCTTTTTTCTCTTATAAACCATACGTCATACAGATAAATAAGAAATCACTTGTCGTTCAACTTGTCATCCATTTCATACTGTTTGTAAAATTAATTGACAGGTCATTCTCTTAAATGGACAACATGGCGTTTACTAAATTGAATGATTGTCATACGTATAAAGAATATCATTTGAACACCCTTTAGTTTTTCAAATGACAGAAAAAACCAAAATTATTGATTCTGGGGTGAATCTAAATGATATTTACCATAGAGAATTTTAAAATTTCAGGGCATACAAAAGTTATCCTTAATTCATTTTTAAAAATATTATTTCTCGATAACCCAAATCGTTTTTATATAGTTTTTCACTAATAGTCATTCTAATTCATATAATATCAAATTTAACTTGGACACATCATATTATTGAAATAAATTGCAAATCAATTATTTCAATATTAATAATTTTTTATTTATTTTTTAAACAATATTATTGTTTAAATTGTTGTAAAAATATATGATATTTACTAAGGTTTTAATTATGATCAAATATTTGAAATAAAAATTATCTTAATTGGAATTCATACTCTGTAAGTGAATTAGTTAAATTAATAAATTAGAGGTTTTATGTTAAGATCGAAAACTGAGCCTAAAAATAAAATAAAATAAATGACTGTTTTTGCAGATATAAAACAGATTTGTATACTTCGTATTTTCTCTCTTCTTCCTAGAAATTGTTATCTGTACGACTTACCCTGGCTCTCCAATTCTCATCTCCAAGAATATTTTATGGACTTGATGTTCTAATTAACTTTAATTATTTTTAATTATAACTTCTTCTTTTTTCTTGTATCTTTTGATTATTATTTTTAAGTTTATATAAAGTTTTAGAGGGAACATAAAAAAATAACTGGGTACAATATTGGAAACTTCTAAGATACATGTAAAATACTTAATTATAACATTGAATACTATGATTGAATTACATTACGGAATAAATTAAATGACAAATATCATAAAAATAAACTATTAGTTTCACTTGATAAACTTGCAAAGATAACCATAAAATTAATCAAAAACATTTTATCACAAATGAAATGAGCATGCATCTTATTGGGCTACGTGAGATGAACTTGAAGTAACATGGGCTCCGAGCGCAAGGCAACTAATGATAGTTACTTATCGTCCGTTTGGTTCATTATTCTGATAATTTTTAGAATAATATTTTGAAAAAAGTTAAATTGGGTAGGTATTACGATGTAGGATTTGAAAATTAATAAAAATACTTTCTATGTTTGTTTATTTACTAAACACCCCCATAATAAAATATTAAAAGTTAACAAAAACACTCACAATCCACCCATTAAATACGGACAGTCGGTCACCACCGCCGAAGGGTGGTCGGAGTCGCCGTATCGACGCATGACTGGCTAGATCTTGCAGGTCGTGTGTCGATATTTTTCGACCGGATCCACACTGCATTTGGTTGTCAACAACGACCATATCTTGGCCGTCGTTGATAACTGACTACGGCCAAACGGCCAGATCTTTGACTGTGAATCTGACCGAAAAAGGCTAGATCGACACACTACCGACCAGATTTAGCCGGTAGTATGCCATCATACCAGATTTTGACCACCTTCCGACAGGGTGGCCGGAATCTAGTAAATGTGGGTTACTGGGGTGTTTTTGCAATTTCTAAAAAAAAATTAAGGGTGTTTAGTTAAATTAACAAATTTAGAGGGAGTGTTTAAAAGAAATTGAATAATATAGAATAATATTTTGAAAATAAACCAATTTTACTGTTTAATTTTATTGGGAAAACTTATAATGCTATTTGGGAGAGTGAATCAAACGAAGCCTGTGTTCACATCAGATTCAGAAACCTTCATGTATATTATATATAATATAACCAATTTTTAAATAATATACTTTAAAAACCTTTGGATGTGTTTGGTACACTTTTTTAATAGGATTTCTAAAATCATATTCTAAATACATTTTAGGATAGGATTCTAAGAATATGTTTGATACATTATTGAAAAACATTTTCTGAAAATATTTAAATTAATTTTTAATCCTCTACATTTGTTAATTTAGCTAAACACCCCTTTAATAAAAGTTTATAAATTAACAAAAACACCCTCACCCACCCAATCGACAGTCGACAGCCGACCATCACCGCTAAACGATGGTCGTCAATCGCCGAAATGGTGCAAGAATAGCTGGACTAGCCAGTCATGCGCCGATCTTGCCTTTTCCAGCCATATCCATCGTGAATCTGGCCGAAAAAGGTCAGATCTACGACCAAAATCTATCCGTCATCAATGGCCAGATAGATTTAGTCATCAATAATCATTTCCAATTAGATCCACAATGGATTTAGCTGAAAAAGGTAAGATTGACACATAACTGACTAGATCTAGCTGATCATGCATTGTTCCGACGCCGATGGCAACGGTTGGCGGCGACGGTCTGCTAGCGAGTGATAGTGAATTGATGGGTTGGAGTGTTTTTGCTAATTTATAAACTTTTATTTTGAAAGGTAATTATTAAATGTTTTAAGTTGAATAGAATATGATTGAATTTTAAATTGAATAGTTAATACTAAAATAAACACATTTTTCACTAGATTTAATAGGATAGTAGAATAAAGTATGAAAGGTGTACCAAACGCAGACAAAATTTGCGTTAAAAAAGAATCCCTCGAGGAACAAAAGTTGCAGATATCAAGTATCAACATCAATATATTCATTTAGAGCAAACAACATATTCCTACCTAAGGTTTAGCGAAATCCTGAGTTGATATCCTTGATTGCATTTATTTCAGATTCTCACCCTTAAAATAATGTCATTTATGTTATTTTAACAAATTTTTAACTTTTTACTGTAGTGCAACGTACGTTAGCATGCTAAAATGCGTCGGTGCTTTCTTTGACAAAAGATAGGCTCATTTTAGCAAAAAGCGGCTCACATTAGTAGCATCCGAGCCGACGAATTTTGACTTTTTCTAACTAATTCTAAAGTTCAAAATCACTTTCGAGACCATCGTTGGACTCCCTACAACCTCCTCTACAAAACTCATACCTTCACTTGCCAACCTCACTCACCGTTTCCGACCACCTCTAACAGTCACTAACGATGTTAGTTTAAAGGAGGAAATCTGGAATAAATACAACTAGAGATATCAACTTGGGATTTCGCTAAACCTCGGGTGGAAATATGACGTTTACTCATTCATTTAATACTCTTAGATCACTCAGAATTCAAAGAAACAAAAGAAAGCCAAGCCATAATTCTTATAAACTTGGCCACAAAATTGAATTTTTTATAAAATATATCACTTTCGCACAAAATTCACCAAACCGTAAAGACTAAGGCTCTGCTAAGTTGTTGCTCTGCTTAAAATGCCCTCTTTCTCAATCTAGATTGATCGTAACTAATAAACTTCTAAACAATAAGAACAATTTGTCAAAAGAATCAAGAGCAGATATACCATATCTTATATTTAGTTGAAGAATTCACCCCAAGTATCCCCACAATTACATTTTTATACCCCCTCTTCTCAGGAAATGCAAAACACCATTTCTGGATATGTACATCACCTCATAACCAAAATATAAAAAAACTCCCACTTTTTCCTTTTCACCATTTTCCCCCCAAACCCCATATCTCACCTATTGCCCAATTCTTATTCATTTACATTACAAAACAAGGAAATATACCCATGTGAAACCATCCAACCTCTCTCTCTTCAATTTATACCCCCACTTCCCAAAACCACAAAAAGGAAAACAAATAAGTCTAACAAAAACAAAAAAGGTCCATGGATATAGAATATGTGAATGTAGGGTGAGGAGAATTTTCAAGATAACTCTGAACAATTACCTCGGCTGTGGACGGGCTGGAAATGAGTGAGCTTGGCGGAGTTGTTTGCGCTGAGGCGGGGGAGTCCCCAAGATCATGGTTTGAGACCTCGTCACCATGTCAACCATTGATGGGGTTTGGTAAGCTTGCACAAGGCTTGTACTATCAGTGGAATCACCACGTGCAGTTGCTCTTTGCCATGAGTGTGAGCTCAAACCAGATAAAACATAAGCCCTTCCAGATGACTCATATATGCGGCGATTTGCCATCCTTTCTTGCATCTCTTTCAACTCAGCACATAATGCGACACATAACCTGTCACGAGCCCGAGCAGAGACAGTTTCAGACAGTGCTCTACGGCAGCTCTCCAAGACAGAGACTGCATTTGCTAGATCACCATGTTCAGCAGCAACTCTAGCCTCAGCCATTGCCTCTGCTGCACGAAGCCGGTTTCTTTGCCTGTCTACTTCCATAGACACTACTAGTTGCCCAGTGATTGCCGGCCTCTGGATCTTTACATCAGTAATTTCATCTGAAATCACCATTTCTTTCGTAATGGGATCTCTAAAAGCACATTTTACCTTAAGCAATGTCATATCTTCTCTAATACCACTAGCTGGAATGTCCATTGTAACCAGAAAATCCCTTTCTTCTTCAGCATACAAGTCTCCCACATCAATAGAACCTGTTTTTCCATCAGGCGTCAAGCTGCTGTGGTAACTTCCTGCTTTTATTGAACTAATTTGCAAACTTGGATGAACACACTCAACTTTAACCTTCACCTCCTGCACAACCACACTCAATAATCCGCCAATACACTGTGCAAATGCATCCTGAATCACACCCTCAGCTTCTATGAAAGAAAATGTGCCCCCAGAAATCTCAGAGATTGAATGCATTGAGGCAGCATCATGGTCTGCGCCAAACCCAAATGCATGAACAGGAATTTGGGTCCCAGTATCACCATTGCGATGGATTGAAATAGGAAGAAGAGACTTGTAATCTGTTCGAGAATGAGCTGCACCAGGACTACTGACAGTATATGTATCCTGTCCATCAGATAACAGTATGATACTACCTACTGGGTTCTTCCACTGGCGATCTAATAACACTTTGGCACCCTTTTTTAGCCCTTCAGCAATATTTGTCCCACCATTTGAAGTTAGAGAATTAACAGCTTGTAAAGCCTCCTGCCTTCCTGTCTCAGTCATCCGACGGAGTGGGAAAAGGCGACGGGCAGTGGAAGAGAAGGCAATGACAGAAAGGCGGTCAGAGGGGCCAAGATTCTGAATCACAAATCCCATTGCTCTTTTTAGCAAAGCAAGCTTGGTACCTGCCATGCTGCCACTAACATCAAGCACTGTGACAAGATCAACTGTAGCACGGGAATTTTCAGATGTCGGCACCTGGTTGCTGCAACTATTATGTCTTCCACTACTAAGAGGTGCTTTCAGATGGATTAGTATATTAAAATTATTATGCGAAACAGCATTTGGGACAGCTGAAACTTCTGGATATGTTTTGACCTCTAATTTTCCAATAGAATTATCTTCAGTAGCATCTGTAGTTGGCGTGTTACTACTCTCAGTAATCTCGTGTTGGTGATCCAAAGCTTCATCATCATTGAAGACAACAGGTTCAGGAGCATGATAAATTGAATTAATCTGCCTGCTCACATCTAGCTGAGGGGGAGGGATTTGTCGCAATATACTCATCCAAGCATCATCACGAGACCAACCTACAGGATTGATTCTCGACCTTCCATGGGGAAGATCAGATGCAGGACTCTGAAATGGAACTTCTTTCCATTTTGCTCTGCAAACTGGGCAAATTTGGTTCCCATGTTTTACATTAGAAGTAATGCAATGAAAGTGGAAAGAGTGAGCACACTCTGCAGTGAAAATGGCATGGCCTTGGCCAGGTTTGATGTTGGTCAGACATATTGCACAGGTCCTCTGCAGTTTAGAAGAATAAGCTGGTGAGTACACAAGATCCACACAGGTATAAGATACAAAGGATCAAGAGAAGAATTACAGAATAAAATATTTAAGCTACTGACATAAATTCATCCGAAGATGACAGAGAGAGGAATAACGGCTATACTCAAAATAACTAACAACAAGTTTACCCAATCTTAGAGAGACAAAATGACAAGGTTCCCTGCAATGAAAATCAATTATAGTTGATTAATCAAAATTTCCCCCTAAAATTACATAAAATACCTTTAAGCATTTCATTGTTAGATACCTGTATCTCTAGAGAATCTACAAGCTCTAAAAAATTTTAGTAGTTCAAAATGACTTCATTTAAAATAAAAATATTTAAAAATTTTGACACTTATGCTCATATTGCTTTGCCCCAAATTTTGGAAATATTCCACAAATATCTTAAGGTTCTCCAAGTGTTGAAATATTTCCAATCCTAGTACAGCTATAGGGTCCCCTAAGTCTGCCACATCTGGTTGAATTTAATGAGGCGCTGCAAATCCCAGAGTTTTAGAACTTACATGACAGTAATGAGAGATTTACGTCAAAAGATAGCCTATCTTATTTCAGTAAACATGAAATTATGCCGTCTGGAGAAGCTCTTTCCGTAACATTTAGTCACTGCTCAAAGCCCTCTCTTAATTAATGGATTTTCACTGACAGGTAAAACAGTTTTGCAGGTCCCTATCTGCCTGTAATGTTAGTTAAAATGGGTTTCAAATATAATACTAGCATTGGGACTTAGTTCCAATGTTTCACAATCCCAAGTGCCATGGCTTTTAAGTAACACCACCACCAGCTGTAAGTTGGACAGTATTGAAAATTTCAAACGTCACTATTTTCTATCACTGACCCCCTTTGTCTCTACACAGCTCTATTATTGAGGCTGGTGCATGAAAAGAAGAAATAGAATGCAACCTATCTGCACCACAAATCCCCACATCAAGAAACACAAAATCTTGTTAAAATTCGACTTCACAGTAAATCAACAAAGCATCCAAAAAGAAGTCAAAACTTAGGTGGTCAAACCATTATAAAGGTCATAACAGGAATTAAAAATACAACCAAGGTGGTGACTTTTCCTACCTCAAACTAATGATGAATCTTTCAACACAATAACCAAAAAAATAAATCTAAGCACAAAGCTCATTAAAAGAAGAAAAATATTAGTGGGTTCACTAAATAAAAACTTAATTTCCCATTTCTCCACAGCCTTTTTTTTTTTTTTTCAAACAACATGAAAAGCAGAGATAAGAGCGATATAAGATGTTAAGAGTATATGTGGAAGAGTGCGGTTATGTTAGGGCGAGGAAAGAAAGCACTTTTCTCATCAATGGAAGGAGAAAAGTTAGAGAGGTACAGTGATATTGTATTCCTTTTCTAATAAGCCAAAGGACAATGGTCCTTAAAGGGACTAGTCTACTTTATCCCCACCAGAGAAGTTGAAAATAACAAGACAACAAATTCCCATCTTCTGAAAATTCAGAATCTATCACATTATCACTTACCCCACATCATAACACCCTTCCAACCATATCAATTTTCTATAACAAAAATTTCCACAGTAACTGTACCACTAGCATTTTATACAAATATACTACCACCAATAATGATAAGATATATTATTCACACATTTTCTATTACTTGGGTAATATTCGTATAGCGATAACCGGTAAATTCCAGTATCGCTACCGGGATTCTGCTCCCGGTGACATATCAAATTGACTATATAAGATTAACCGACAGATAACCATAATAGCTAAAATAAAGACTAAATTAGCAGAATATGAAGCTCATAAAAGGAAGATTGAATTGAATTTAAGAAGTTGAAATTAGTTAATATCAAAGATAAATCAAAGGAGATCCGTTAATGACAACAGAGATTAAAACAGCGAAAATTAGCAATAAAAAGAGCATTATAATGTAAGGCGGAAAGAGAGAGATGGTGATCAAATGAACCTTGGAGGACTTGGACAAGCGGAAGGCAGAAGACGAAGGGGAAGGCGTAGAAGAAGGTTGAGGGAGGGAAGAAGGTGAAACGGCGTCGGAGAGTCCCGGTTGAGTGGAGCTGGGAGAAGTTGTGGAGTCTTGTTGTTGTTGTTGTTGTTCAAGTGATTCAGGAACATATAAACACATGTTAAGACCAAGAGCGAGCTTGGCTTTTCTCCATTTGCTTCCCATATCTTCTGAGTAAGAGATCTCAAAGTGAAGAGCGTGAATATTTCAGATTCAGATCTTGAACTTGGAATGAGAAGGAGGAGCCATAGGAAAAAAGAAGTGGTAAAATGTGTGTGCTAAGACACTGGTATATACATGGCATGAATTGAATTGAATATAATATAAAGTTGAGAGATTAATGTTAGAGTTTTGGAACTTTATGTGGTGGATAAATTTTTGTTTATGTAATGGGTGATTGGTGGGTGGTGGTGGTGGTCAGAGGTGAGCAGCCTTTTTTTTATTTTTTTTATTTTTTTATTTTATATTATTTAATAAGAGGAGAGAGAGAAGGATCGATCGTGGGGCTGACTGTTGAATCAACAAAGTTGGGGGCGCTTCTGCTTCAGATTCAATATATATATATATATATATATATATTCGTCAAATTGGCCTTGTTTTTTGTTATTTCATAAATTTTATGCAAGATTTGTTTTTATTTTTTTATTACATGAACACTTATTCATGATATACGTATCTCTGTATTTAATCGATAACAAATCTTATGAATTATGATACATGGTATTTTTAATTGTATATAACACTTGGCATGCTAAATTTTAAAAGGAGAAAAAACTTATATAAAAATATCAATGCATTTATGAGTGGTTCGACAGAGGCTCTTGAGTGTTATATTCAAGAGATATTGAGTTCTAGTTTCTTCTCGATTGCTAATAGGGTTAGTCACTAGAATTCTTATCCGATTGATAGTTTCAGGGTTCTAAGAGATTAGTTGAGGCACACGTAAGCTGGTTCAGATACTCCCAGTTATAACATCTTTTAATGATTATCATTAATTTTTTATTATATGCATATATTTTAAAGAAACAAATTATGAATAACATGTCAATATACATACAATAATATATCACTTTAAATAAATATTTTAAGATATTTAAAATGTACATAATTTTCCAAATGTTATTAGTGGGTACTTTCCTTTTAAGTTAGACATGATTAAATTAAAATTTAAGGAAGAGTAATTTTCAAAAAAATACAAAAAAAAAAAAAGGTAAAGCCAATTAGAGCTTACCCTTAAATATTGTTAAGGTCGTGGAGTTAAATTCAATCAAATTTGTTAATGAATTGGGACATGATTTTCCTAATATGTTTCTTAGTAGAATTGTTATCTTTTTTTTTAAAAAAAAAAAAAGTTATTTGACTAAAAAAGAAATACAATTAAGAATACAAATGTAAATTATATTAGGAATTAAAATAAAATCTTATTAAAAGAGGAAAATTTGAATCCTATTTAAAACAGTATCTCATAAATTACCTATGAGAATGTGTTAAATCTTATAAATATGTAAGACAGAATAGAGCACGTGAGAGAACCAATTTTTGAGTCTTGTAACTATTTTATTCTTTATAGTGAAATTGTACAGCAACAAAATTGATGTAATTCTTATGCGAAAAGTGAATCATTATAAATCATATGTTTGTGTTTGATTAATTATTTTATCATTTATTTTCATTTGCATATGGATTTAAATTTTTGCTAACATCCAATTAAATCTCCACAACAAATAGAAGACATTCCACTTAATTTCCAGCCTGTCGTTATCTCCAAAGACATTTTGTTTGAAAAGTCACGAGTTTCTTGTTTTTTTATTTTTTATTTTGGTTCCTTTTAAATGTGTTAACAACATGATTCTCACTAGAAGGAGTTGAAATGCTTTTTGGCCAAATTCTAATTTTTTTTTTTTTTTTTTTTTTTTAATGAGAAAAGTTAGTTGTAGTTTGTTAAAATTAAAATAAATTCTTAATAAATAATAAATAATAACTTTAATTAGTTTCATATATTAATCTCCCTATGGAAATTAAAAGCAAATCAGAACCGTCCAACTTGAGATATAATAATGACAATTGCTTGTCCACTCTAATCTTTTACTTAAAGCACCTTTTAATACATAAATTTACCAAAACACTTATTAGTTAATTTAATTTTAATTTGGAGTCCAAGTGGATTATGTACAAGTCATTTTCGGATAATTACAATTACCCATAATGATAATGTTTTTAGTGGCTTTTTTGACTTAAATTGAAAAGGCAATCCGGCCCCATGATCATGATGGAAGACAGTTGGGTAAAATCAACGGTTCTGATTGGATCATCCATTGATAATGTTAGTGAAAATGACATTTTGAAGAAGCTTATAGAGATTATGTCACCCAAATGATCAAAATTGTTGAACTATAATATTATAGTGTAGTTGTTCACTGTTTTTGTCTTATATTAAAAGTTGTATATGGATCTTCAGCTACTTTTAGGTTGGTTGGCCATGAATGATCACAACTATTCATGGTATATTAAAGGGAAGGAGAAGAAGATTAATTATTTTACTTTTTTTTTTTTTTTTTTTTTAACCTAAGCTGTTGCCAACATGACTTTATTTTTAACTAGTATGATGTTGGATTAGTTGAGTTATAAATTGTTAATAAGAGACGTCAGTTTTTTTAACTATCTCAATTGATTGTAATCGAGTTAGAATGGAGTTGTTCAAACCGTGAGTTTGGGTTCAATGAGAACGCTAGTTTTGATACTTGTAAAAGGGCTAACAATGGAGTGTTTTGGCATGTTCTATCTGATGCTCAAGTCAGTATTATATTTCGCGAGGTATTTGGATTATAGGGAGTAATGCAATGTTTACACTCTAGTGAATGAAAAAACGTTTATACCTTGTGAATATTCACTTAAACAGACTTACTAAAATGAGGATTATCTTTAGGATGTGTATAATCTTTTTATTTATATAGGTGTTGTTATTGAATTGTGACATTCGGTGCTATTTTCTTAATTAAGATAAGATCTACCATTTTATTCTTTCCAAGCCCACATAGTATCGTTTTTATAGAGTTTTGTCAACATAATAATTAAAACCAAAACCATTAAATGCATATAAGATTGATGACGAAGAAGCACTAGCTTCACTCATTTTATTAAGACCCTACTAGGGCAGCCGGGCAATTATCTTGTTTGACCAATTGAAGCTTCAAATAATAACACAATATCAACCCCCATTAACTTAAAGCTTGAAAATGAAGAAGAAAGGGAAATAATGTTGATTGTTGAGTGCTTATGTTGTCTACTAATAATGGCCACTCATAATAGCTTCAATGGATCATGGTTTTACTCATCACTCCATTTGGTTTTGGTCAATATGAGCAGGGCTTACTGCCTTAAAGAAAAATATACATAGAGGAATTCTTTAAATTTAATCCACTTTTTTTTTCCTGAATTAAAAGGAAAAAAAAAAAAAAATATATATATATATATATATATTTGATTTCTCTTAAATAAGGCTTCCTTTTATATAGTGAAATGTTATCACTTAAATTTTTTTTGATAATTAGGGTGTACGGACTAACTTATATGTACCTAAACTAATTTCTGAAGCTTATTAAACACTCTATAAATTTAATGTTCTAGGTAAACCACAAATATGGTAGATGGGTCCAAGGTGGTACGAACCCAGAAAGTTAATAAAGGGAATAAACTTTTTTAACCATCAAGCCAACCCTTTAGGATTCTTGAAATTATTTTCTAGTTAGATGTAAATTAAATTTTGTTTGAACTCTTTTTATTATAGAATTATGGCATTTCTGTCACTTCTACGAAGAATAACAGTAGAAAACAAAGAGTCAATGACATTCTCTTTGCAAAGTTTTTATATTTGAATTCCAAAAAATGGGGTAATATTGGGTGTAATTGAAGCCAATGGGGAAAGATTACGTCTTGCAATAGATTAGGGGTGAAAAGTAGTCAGTCATTTTTTCACCGAAAAAGCAAACACTATTAGTGTCAATTATTAGAGTTTGGCTGAAATCCTGAGAGCAAAATCTGAAAAATCTTTGAAGTGGTGAGTCCCACAGACACACCCATGACATTAACCAAAGATATGCTGACCTTTAATACAACCATATTGAATTTAAACAGAGTCTTAATCAATCATTCATCTTCACCCACACTAATTAATTAATTTTAAAATCAATTTCCTTATCCAATCTTCAACACTCGAACTAAATTTTCGGTGCATGCAGCTTAATATATAAATGCATAGAGGTTAGGTGATGAAATGAAAAAGTCACCCTCAAATAAATGAATTAATTAATTTTTTTTACCCTTTTTCGAGATATATTTAACCATTTTCATAAATAGAGGGGATGTTATAAATAAAATTTTCCCTTGGAAAAGCTGGGTTTATGTATATATATATATATAGCTTTTGTGTTGACTTGCGACAGAAAGTGTGGGAAATTTAGGGGAAAAAAGAAAAGGAGGATCTTTACCAATGATTCTCCACTAACTGTAATTAAAAACTTCTCAAAAGATGTTAAAATGAAAATGAAAAGGATCCACTGTCTTGGGTCCCTTCCTTCATGTTCTCTTGTATGGAGGAATAAACTTTTAAACATCCCCAGACAGCTCTCTCTTTTTTAAAGGCCTCGGCTCCCCGGCCCCTCCCTTTCCACCATTTTATAAATCCTGTAGTTCTTCATAATATGTGCTACCTTGGCCGTCATTTTGTTAATATCAATTATCAAATTGGCCAATCACGTTTCATCTCAAATGGGTTTCAATTATCGTGATAAAATAGTAAAAGATTTTTCTTTTTTTTTTTTCTTTTTTTTTTTGTCTGGGGTGTCCGGGCCCCTCCCTTTCCAGTTTCCACCATTTTATATATATATATCCTATAGTCTTCATAATATGTGCTACCTTGGCCATCATTTTGTTAATATCAAATTGGCCAATCACATTTCATCTCAACTGGGTTTAATTTATCATGACAAAATAGTAAATTATATATATATATTTTTTAGGTGACTAAGGGTGTCCTGATTAGCTTGTGTGTATCTTAACTAATCATTCAAAGCCTTAAAGTAAACAGTCTGATAAATCTCTTTAGTAATCACCTTTATTAATGTTTGAAGGGACTCAAACTCAAGAATCTAAATCTGTTTACTCTTTTACCATAAAATCACCCGATAGTAAATGAAATTAGGTGTCTTGTATAGTGTGTAGAAAAGTTGAAGTAAAGATTGATTATTAATTAAGCCGAGTTTGTTGAACAGGTGTGAGATTTCAATGCTTGGAAACCTAACAAGTGAATGGAGGAGAGAAGAGAAACGGTTACCAAGTTTGAATGTTCAACTATTTAGTTCAAGGTAGAGG